TAACAAACTTATTGATAAGATATTAAAGAACTTATTTATAAAGTTTTATATAATTTAATTAATTAGTTAATGAATTATAAGTAAATATATGATTCTGGTTTTTTTTGCACCATACTGTATATGTATATAATTAGATAAATAGAATTTTTTTTAAAAAAAAAATTTTTTTATATATTATAATAATTAAACAATAGATTTAAATATTTTTTTAAATTTAATTTTTTAAAAACTATTGCATAATTTATTATAATTATTTTTTTATTTAAAAAGTTAATTTCTAAAGATTTTAAATATTTTTATTTAATGTTTTATTAATTTAATTTAATATTTAATTTTAAAAGTATTTGTAAACTTTTATTTACTTTTTGTAGTTTAAAAAATAATAAATAAAATTAAAGTTTAAATAATAACTTGTTAAAGTATATATATAAGCTTATTTATAAAAAAGTAATAAAACTTTTTTTGAAATATTTGTTTTTTGAATTGGCAAAAGAATTTAATATTTCATTAAATAATTATAGTATATCATATATTCAAAATAATATACATACTGTAGGTAATTATAATAATAATATAATTTTGATGAAATGTAATTAGTAAAAAAGTTAAAAAATATTAAAGAAAGAAAGTTTTTTTCAAAAAAGTTTTATATTATATTAAAGTTATTGTTTTTTTTTTGTTTTTTCTAAAAAATAACTTTTTTCAATTTTGGTTTTTATAATATAAAAATTTAATTAGTGAAACAAATAGTTATTCTAACTTTCCATCCAGATTTCGATATTTTAGAAGGAAAGTAACTACCATAAAATACTAACTTTTTAACCACAAGTAATAAATTAAGAAAGTTATATCAATTTAAATACTCTTGTGTATTATACAAGATCAGAATGCCAATAGAACATAAATTAATTTTTTATTATACAATAATAAATAATATTGCATAACTCAATCGGAAATACAATCTATATTTTATATAATTAATAAGAGCCATAGTAGAATTTGATATTTAAGATTCAGTTACAAGAAAATAAAAAAGATCATCATGATTTATAGGGACACTAATATACATGTACAGTCGTCATATTCTTGTAGAGTATTTTCAAATAGACTACGATCACCCTCCCTATTACAAAGGTGCATAGCAATGTTCTTTATATGCTCTCCAGAATCTAGCTTTGTGCCTATACATGTAGTGATTACTTGGTTTTGCATATCTGCCTTGGAAAGGTATAAATGATCAAACAATCCGTCAGTACTCATCAGTATAAACTGCCTACCGGTCCGTTTCGAAAATGCACCAAGCTTATTGAAGTAAATATCCGGAACACAATTTATTACTGGCTTAGAAGGATCCAATTTGAAGAGTAAGTCCCCACAGGTAGCGGCCACGTTAAGTGACCAATTATTCCCATTATTATTCTTATAAGGAACTCCAAGATCATTATCAGCATTCTGTAATCTAATGCGTGCGCTTTTTAAATTCGTTCGGATGGGGCGATCTTGAGGAGAAGGATCAAATCTTATCGGCTTGTCTTGACTATCCACAAAAAGTCCACCATTAGAAAAGATCTGTACAGCAAGGCGTTCAAGAAAAGGTTTGTGATCTTCGCTTGCAAAATCAACAGTCCACTTCTCATTGACTTTACTCGCAAGAATGGTACGTGAATCCCCAACATTTATGTTGATGAACCATTCTCCAAAGAATAAATTTATAACCAAAGTCGCTCCGTCATCAATAGGTGCTACCAAATCATCATGAGCCTGCCAATGGCGATACTCCTCCCTCTTAGCATTTAAATATTCGTCATCAAGGCGCCTAATAAGCACAGTCATGTCTCGTTTGAAATTCTCTTGAATGTGGTCATCTTCTAACTGTGTGGGTTCGTAAAGCCGAAGCATGCTTTCTACGCAATCTGGAACTCGGGATGTCAAAAATGCAGAACATCCTGAGCCTCCATGTCCATCTGCTAAACAAAATAATCTTCCTAAGAAAGAACCATTCACATAATATAAATCCCTAACACAAAATGCATCTTCACATTTTGCCTTTGCATATCTCATTCTGGGACTGCTCCTAAATCGAGGATAAGAGTAACCAGTCTCCTGAGCAATGGCAAATGATACAGGTCCAATCGAATGATCAATTCCGAAATCAGAGGGCTCATTTATTGTCAGAAATGAAGAATTATGTGCATCGATTCTATTAACAGATTTATGTTTAATTAGTGATATAAGTAGAGAAATGTGAAATAAAGTAAGGTTTGAGAACTTACTCATTCAAACCAACATTAGGCTCTTGAGGCGTTTGCGCCGATGACAAATCTTCGGTTATTTCTGAATCACTGTCCGTGGAACTAGAATCGTTTGATGTACGAAGTTTTGTGCCTCTCTTTTTAGAAATTCTCTCTTCTGACGAATCAGAATCACTCTCACTCGAGTAATCAACTACTGTTTGAATATTGGTATACTTTTGGCTCGATCTTTTCTTGGGTAAACCATTTCTAGATTTGGCCCTGGTTGTTATTTTTGATGTTTGCCTTTTTGTTTTATTTCGACTAGCAGTAACTCTAGATGACTTTGCTTGTGATTTTTTCACCGGAGGTTTTTTCTTATTATTTCCCGGGGGGTCTGGAGGATCTAATTCCATCAAGGAAAGAATTTCAGAATCCGGAGGAAACAAACCTTTGGCAATTCGATAACCTATTCCATTCGACTCCACTTTGCGTTTTTCAATTGGCGTTGGGCGTTTCTTTGACAGTGCTGTGGAAATTGCTGTAGAAATGTTGCCTTGGACAGTGGCTTGTGGCGTAAGTCCCCTGTTTATTCAAGTAATTAGTGAATTCCTGGAAACAAAAATACGAAGAGAAAAAAAAAATAGCATTATTTCGTGCCAATAATTCGACGAGGCTTTACACACACCCAAGTCTCGTGAATCCATGTTCGTGAATCCCCTCTAGAATGGAGTTCGGTATGAATCAGCTCTTTTAATTGAAGTTTTGGCGTTGAAATCGTTCTTACCTACTATTTCCTTTGCAGTCATATATCGATTTCCATTAACCAACAGTGTCTTCAATATTGAAGAAAATATTTTATTTGAACGTTGATCGTCTGCGAGATCAAGACTTTCGAAGGACGGAATATTTGTTGTTTCCATTTTTTGAGATCATTAAAATAAATGAATCTGGAAAAAAAGTGTAAGAACCGAATTTATATTATAAATAAATCAATTCCACGTGTTTCACGTGATTTGTTTACATTAAATTTTTGCTATAAATACTCGACGAGCTTTTGTCTCTAGGGTTATAATATTTCCTAAAATTATACGTTCGAGCTGACGTGTCCGAGCGGTCTAAGGAGCCAGACTTAAGTTCTGGTATGTGTAAGCATGCGTGGGTTCGAACCCCACCGTCAGCAACATTTCATAATTTTTATGCATCAAGTAAAATAAATTATAAAAATTTGTATTATCCATTTTATTTATTTTTATAACTTAACAGAAAAACGGTATATAAATAAAATACTAGCAAAAAAAAATTAACTTTTTTTGTTAATACTATATATATAGTATATTCTTAACTTAAATATTGTTTTAGTTATATAATTAAATTATACGTTATGAATTTTTATTATAAAAAATAAATGTATTTAATTAATTTTATTTTGTATTTAAAAAAATTTTTTTTTAATTTTCTTCTTATATACAATTTGTCTAAAAAGTTTTTAAACAAATATTTTTATAATAATAAATATTTATTTGTTTATTTAATAGAAAATTTAAAAAGATTTTTTTAGAAAATAAAAAATAAAATATTAAATATTTTTAATATTTTATTAATAAATTTTTAAATTTTATTAAAAAAAATTTTTTTTTTTTGATAAACATTAAATATAAAAAGTTTTTATTAAATTTTTATTTGTTATCAATATATTAATAATCTTTATAAAATAAATTAATTTTAGCTTATTAAAAATAAAAGTTGATATATATAAATCTTTGAAATTTTAAAAAAAAAAAGATAGACCTATGGATCTATAGCATAGTAATAATGCTTTATGGGTAAGGATCCTAACAATTCTCTTCAATTTTATATTCGATTCTCAAGTTTATATTAAATTTAATAGGTGGAGTATACCCTATTATCATTTTTAATAGTGTTTCGAACCTTATGCGATTCTGTTCAATTCTATTCGATTTTAATTTTTAGAATTACAGAGGGTACCCATATTATTATAAACACTTTTTATTATATAATAAAATAAATTAATAAGCAAAAAATTTTTTTATTATACTAAGTAAATATTTTTATAATATGTTAAAGTATATTAT